CGGCGCAGCCACGACGTCAGTGGCCACCGTTGCATGGCTTTCCACGGATTCAGACGGTGCCGCCAATTCCTGCGGATGGACTTCCACAGATGGCGTCGCCTCGAATTCCTGTTCTTCCACTGGAGTGTCTGCGGTTGGCAACGCAGCGTCGGGGGTTGCCTGCGTCTCTTCCGGTTGATCGAACTCTTCATCCTGGCCATACGAAGCTCCTTCGTCGTGTACAGGCGAGGGTTGTGCAGGCTCGTCCTCGGTGGCCTTGTCGGTGGGTGTTTCCGCTGGCGTGGCCTTGTCAGCGAATTCGTCGGCATCGTTCGCATACGCTTGAATGTCGTCTGCCACGACGTCCTCCTTGACCGCGCTGTCGACCGGCGCAGCCACGACGTCAGTGGCCACCGTTGCATGGCTTTCCACGGATTCAGACGGTGCCGCCAATTCCTGCGGATGGACTTCCACAGATGGCGTCGCCTCGAATTCCTGTTCTTCCACTGGAGTGTCTGCCGTTGGCAACGCAGCGTCGGGGGTTGCCTGCGTCTCTTCCGGTTGATCGAACTCTTCATCCTGGCCATACGAAGCTCCTTCGTCGTGTACAGGCGAGGGTTGTGCAGGCTCGTCCTCGGTGGCCTTGTCGGTGGGTGTTTCCGCTGGCGTGGCCTTGTCAGCGAATTCGTCGGCATCGTTCGCATACGCTTGAATGTCGTCTGCCACGACGTCCTCCTTGACCGCGCTGTCGACCGGCGCAGCCACGACGTCAGTGGCCACCGTTGCATGGCTTTCCACGGATTCAGACGGTGCCGCCAATTCCTGCGGATGGACTTCCACAGATGGCGTCGCCTCGAATTCCTGTTCTTCCACTGGAGTGTCTGCCGTTGGCAACGCAGCGTCGGGGGTTGCCTGCGTCTCTTCCGGTTGATCGAACTCTTCATCCTGGCCATACGAAGCTCCTTCGTCGTGTACAGGCGAGGGTTGTGCAGGCTCGTCCTCGGTGGCCTTGTCGGTGGGTGTTTCCGCTGGCGTGGCCTTGTCAGCGAATTCGTCGGCATCGTTCGCATACGCTTGAATGTCGTCTGCCACGACGTCCTCCTTGACCGCGCTGTCGACCGGCGCAGCCACGACGTCAGTGGCCACCGTTGCATGGCTTTCCACGGATTCAGACGGTGCCGCCAATTCCTGCGGATGGACTTCCACAGATGGCGTCGCCTCGAATTCCTGTTCTTCCACTGGAGTGTCTGCGGTTGGCAACGCAGCGTCGGGGGTTGCCTGCGTCTCTTCCGGTTGATCGAACTCTTCATCCTGGCCATACGAAGCTCCTTCGTCGTGTACAGGCGAGGGTTGTGCAGGCTCGTCCTCGGTGGCCTTGTCGGTGGGTGTTTCCGCTGGCGTGGCCTTGTCAGCGAATTCGTCGGCATCGTTCGCATACGCTTGAATGTCGTCTGCCACGACGTCCTCCTTGACCGCGCTGTCGACCGGCGCAGCCACGACGTCAGTGGCCACCGTTGCATGGCTTTCCACGGATTCAGACGGTGCCGCCAATTCCTGCGGATGGACTTCCACAGATGGCGTCGCCTCGAATTCCTGTTCTTCCACTGGAGTGTCTGCCGTTGGCAACGCAGCGTCGGGGGTTGCCTGCGTCTCTTCCGGTTGATCGAACTCTTCATCCTGGCCATACGAAGCTCCTTCGTCGTGTACAGGCGAGGGTTGTGCAGGCTCGTCCTCGGTGGCCTTGTCGGTGGGTGTTTCCGCTGGCTCGGCTGACATGTCTTTGTCGATTTCGCAGTGTGCATCGGATGGTATGAAGTCGTTGGTGTACTCGGCAGCAATGTGCCGATCCGAAGGGATATCATCTTCTTGGTCGATAGTGCTGCAGGAAATATTTTCCCTGGAAAATGAGGTGTCTGGGTCTTGTCTAATTGATTTGTTCTTGGTGCCGTCGAGGCCAGTGTCATTTGCCACGCTGTGTATTTGTCGTGACAAGGGTTCGATGTCAACCGATAATGGCTCATCCTGGCTCTCGCTCTTCTTGACAAGTTTGTCCACGACTGACGATACAATAAACTGCACGGCCGCAGTGGCTTCATGCGTGCACTGGTTCGATTCTTCGTTTCGAGTACTTGAATCCGCAGGAGCCGCCAAGTGGAGGTCTTGATTGACAAGTGTAGGTTGATCGTTGCAGACGGCGTGTTGGCTCTTCACCCATAGTCCTGGATGTGGGAGATCGAATTCGATTTCGTTGACCACCTTTGTCGCCGTCGTTGGGATGATGTCGTCGTTGATTTGGGTGGCGTAAATAGTAATGTTCTTGAGGTCTTCGTTGTTTAAGGATGTCTCTAATAACTCGTCCTTGGTCGAGGGGCTGGATTCTGGTTCAATCGCGCTACGTTTTGTCGCTTGTAGTAGAATCCCCTCCGTCATGCTTTTCGCGGCAACTTGCTCGGCCAACAACGTAATTGACTTGGTGCCAACTGCTGGACATTTCATTGTCGATCGATTCGACGATTCAATGGCACAGCCATCCGTCACTTCGATATCGTCATCATGAGTGGAATGTAATTCGTCCTGCATGTGCACCGTTCCGTCTGTGGATTCTTGAAGTTGGTTGGATGCTTGAACAAGTCCATTGTACAAACACAACAAGACAAATGACTTCGCTGTCATGGCCACTTTGAATGAGATTTCATTGTCTTCGTTGTCGGAGCCGATGGTGTCATCGACTTGCGATCCAGGTAATGAAGCGCACTGCGGAGTCTGCAATACGCCAGCCATATCTGGTGTTGTTATCGATTCTGGTGATGTACCAGGCCGTTCGGCGTGGAGAGGGCTGGTGTCGATAGTGTCCGTAAGCTGAGAAGTTGATCGGTTTGATTCTGGTTGATGTGAGCTCGCTGGCATGATTTCCACCAACTCGAGTTCTGCATAAGCCTGCATCGACGATTCCTCCCGTGCGACGACTGACTCGAGTACGATTTCGGGTTGACCAGTTGGTGCTGATGTGTTAGAGGTTCCAGGTGGTCCAACAATGGCTAAGTTGGGGAAGGATGCATAGGCTACGAGGGCATTTGTCATCGCTTGATCAACAAACTGCCTTGTCACAGGTGGTCCAACAATGGCTAAGTTGGGGAAGGATGCATAGGCTACGAGGGCATTCGTCATCGCTTGATCAACAAACTGCCTTGTCAATTGGGATACGATCGTCGTTGGCGTCAACGGCCGAATCGTGGATGCTCGCAACGGCGGAGCAATCATTTTATGCGACAGTGGGGGCACAAAGTATGGTACGTCAGATCGTCGTTCACGCGGTGCAGTCGCACGAAACGACGAGGCAGGGCTTGGGGGGAAAGGACAGCACTGACGTTCCGTGGAATTCGAGGATGCGGCAGCTTCCAACGCCCTTTGAATCACATCGTTCACAACCAGCACGGCCACGTTCGTGTGCGCGGGCGTGATCAGTAATCTTGAAAGGGGGTACGCGGAAGGCATTTTCAACAGGGGTACGACAGGGACGATGTCGCTCAACGGATTTGGGTAGTCGTTCTCCGTTGTATCGTTTGCTGACTCCTTGGGCTGCACAATTTCAAAGACATCCTCGCTGGCCGGTGCCATCCCTCCAAGAGGGACAAAGTCCTGCCGTGACACCACTCGCTGAACCCCTTCGATTATGGACTGGTGCACTACGAGACTAGCTGTCGACGCCGACAATGACTTGACAAGTTGCAGCTGTGGATTGGCATTTCGGTATATTAACTCGTCACCAGGAGTGTCACTATTATGGTGGACAATGTTTGCATGGATTGATGATACCTCGGGGAACGCCGACACAACTTCGGCGAATTCAAAGGCTGGAATCACCACCATGTTTGTACCAGGGCAATCCCAAGGCTGGCTCTCTGCAAGTGCAATTTCGATGTTTGCATCTTGAACGCTTGGGCCCTCCTCGGGTAGCTGAGGTTGGAGTGAAGCTGCAATCGCCAATGCACCTTGTACGGCCGCTTTTATAAAGCCGTCGACTGCCCCTCCTGCCACGGAAAGAATGGCCAGCGCCCGTGCAAACGGGTCTTCCTCTACACGTGTGGCAAGTTGATTGGGCGTGGCTCTTTGGTCGTTGACGTTTTTGAGGTTTAGTCGATGGAGCGCCTCATCCTCGGGCGGGTTGAGATCTATGGCCGGCAACGTTTCACTCGACGAGGTAGCGTCGTCGCTTATGCCAGAACTTGTCTGGGCCTTCATTTCGTCAGCACAACGAGCTTTCGATTCCACCTCGGCATTAGTAGCTGATGTTTCAGCATCCCTTTCGATATGCCTTGCTCCATCGTCGTTTTCGAAGCGACCTGCAACACTGTCTGAATCTGTGGCTTTGACTTCGTCCTTGGCCTCGCTTGTTGCAATGGCATCGCGGGATCCATTGAAGTTGTCATTGAGTATATGCCTAGAGTCGACTGGTGATTTTTCGCTGTACAAGGTGTTGTACTCTTGCCTAGCGACAGTTATATCGCCTTCAGTTGTCTTGGTAGAGTCAATGCCCGAAACTTCGAATTGTTCGTCCTGTTTTGTCTCTTTTGCGTCGGGCATCCTTTGATCTTGCCGCACCTCGTCGCTTGATTCATATGCAATGGCATCACTTGCGGCACCTACTTCTTTCGTCGAGTTCTCCAGTGTGTCACGATTCCGGGGCTCCGATGTAGCTTGGTCAAGTGTCGATTCTACTTGCCCCGTCAACAAAATCGCCGTCTCATCCACCGAGTCTGCCACTTCGACTTCGTCGTACTTGGCACTTTCCCGGGCGGCCGCTGTCGCTTGCTTGGCTTGTTGTCGATCGAGATTCTCCGTTGTGGACTGTTCAATTTCGATCGCATGTGGGCCACTCCGTTCTGGTGGAACAGCTTCGTCGGGTGTTGGGTCCCCTGTGCCTCCGGGCACGGCCGCCACGGTTTGGCTTGGTTTCCGTGGTTCTTGAAACCACGACGAAACAAGGTCGCCGTGGAGGTCGGTTGTGGCGCCACTCGTTTCTGCATCCGCTGGCGCAAGTACAAGACCGGCTTTTGCGACCCGGATCTCCTTCAATCCGTTCGAATACTTCAAGTCGTAGCTACCGTCCATGTGACATCGACACACTTTAGCGAATTTGCCGTTCTTGGTCACGTCGTCTCCCGAGGCAAACACTGGCGTCTCGGCACGATGTAGCAAGTGGATCGCATCTTCCGGGACGCGGAGCTCGATCGCGTCGCTTTCAAAATGCACATCGTACAACGCTGTCGTTTGGCCTTGAATGTGCACCCGCGCCACTACGCCTGGCAGGTACTTGGACTGGCCGCGCACTTTGGCTTCGACAATGTCCCCAGTGTGCCACAATGGGTAATACTCGGCTTCGTGGGGGGGCCACGGCACGGACCGAATCAGCAACGGGGCCACCCCAGTGGCGACCTCGCCTGATTCAAACTCAATGTCGTACGTGCCATTGAACCGACAGTTGGTAATCAGCCCCTGCGCGTACACGTGGGATGTGGGGGGGCGCGCTTCGATGCGTTGGTGCCTCTCGAAGGATTCATCTTTCGCGCAGGGTCGGAGGCTGTCGGGTGGGACTTTTTCCTTGTCCCCGTTGTCGTACAAGACTGTGACCAGTCCCGTGGTGTTGCTGACCTTGGTGATTGTTCCAGGCATGCTTCTCGCTCCTTTGACCACTTCGATGCGGGCGTCGACTGTGTATGGAACAATGGGTGGGGGAGTCCGCTTGCGGATGAGCTCGGCCGCGACAAAAGTTTCAATGTCGCCGTCGTCGTACTTGATGTCATACGACCCATCCAGTCGGCATCGCAGGATCGTGCCGTTGTAAAACCGGGTATTGCCTTCATATTGCGCTTGGACCAAATCGCCTTCTTCGAACTGCGGTCGTTCGTCCATATCCCCCAGCGCTCGAATCATGTCTTTGTCTACTCCAGTTTCTCGCTCGCCGTCGTCGTACTCGACGTCGTACGTGCCGTTGGACCGGGCACGGGCGACCTTGCCTTTGTAGTACTTTTGCCGCCGCTTGTAGCGCGCTTCGACCTTTTGACCCACCTTCCACCCCGCTGGGGAGTTGGCCTTGTCTTGGCGTTCGTTTCGGCAGACAAGAATAATCAGGTTGTGGCTGACGTTGCTTTCGGTTTCCCCGTCGTCGTAAAGAACATCATACGACTGACTGTTGTCTGTCACCCTGGTAATCACCCCAGGGTAGAACTTGGACTTGCCTTTGTACCGTGCTTCGACCACGTCACCTTTGGTAAACTTGGCCGGCAACGGCGACACGGTCGTCGGAGTGGGTGTCTCCAGGAGCCGTATCCAATCCACTGGGACTTCGCATTCTTGTTCGCCGTCGACGTAATCCACATCAAACGATTGGTTGTCCCTGCTGCAACGCGTGATCACTCCGGCATAATACCTCGCCCCGCCGTTGAATCGGCATTTCACTTTTGCGCCCACGGTCAGTGGGTGCTTTTGGCTCAGGGGGGTGAATATGCCGTTTTGCAAGTTGACTGGGGTGGTTGTGTCCACCGGGTGGTGTGGTTGCGATGGCTTGACATGGGCAGGCGGGGGCATGGCGGGCGACGTCCGTGCTGGTGCCGCCACGTACACTGGATCCAAGGACGTTTCGGCTTTTTCAATCATGCGGTGCAATTTGTCGGCAAAACTGATGCGACTCAGTGGCGTGAGGGGGTCATCATTGACGGCTTCAAACAATTCCGTGGCAAACGACTTAAGCTCTGCGAGGGGACTGGCTGGCACGACCAATACGTCCAGTCGATCCCTCTTGATTGGTTGCGTGGTGGCCATGGTAGCTGGACGAACGGCGGGGGGGTCAGTAATAGCCAGCGGCAACAACTTGGACGACGAGTGCGGGCGAAGCAGCTCCGCCATGGGCTGCCGCAGTTCTGTCGAGGCTGTGGTGGAATTTAAGAACGCGTCGGGTTGCTTGGTGATTGAAGGTTTCTTTCGTGAGGGGCTCGATCCCTGGCGCGATTTCGAAGCCCGCGCCGTGGCGACGACATTCGAGGCGGCATTGCTGGACGGGTCAAAGCCGTACGTTTGGAGCAACAGCTTTTCTCGGGTGGTCGGTTCCTTCTTCGTCGCCCCACGTGATGGAGAAGGAAGGGGGAGGTTAGTCGTCAAGGAGGACGCTTTGGAGGTCTTGGATTTCTTCCGTGCCGACGCGGGGCTCGCGGGTTTTGATCGTTTCAACGGTTCTTCCTCGAGGATGATGCGTGCCGTTTGGCGTACTTTGGTCGACGGGGATTGGCGCATGGACGCGACTGCCAGTTCCCGCGTCGCCGCGAGCGAGTACTTGAGGATGCCTTCGTGGGATGGGTATTTTGCCATGACAATCGACAGGTCCGCGATGGCATCGACTTGACGGAGTACTTGAGCGATGGACTTGTTCAAGGACAACAAACTAACCCACAAGTCAACCCCCATGAACTGTACACTTTCGCGACGTACCAAAGCAGCAACGTGCAAATCGAGCACGAAACTTTTTTATCGTCCAATTTCAAGCTCTTTCGCAAAACGTGCACTAGCGTTCGAATGGTCAAGTAGTCGTCGACGGGGTCGACGATGGCGGCGGCGACGGGGGCGCCGCTGTGGTCGCACACTTCCAAGAGCACTACAAAACACTCATTTGGGACTTTGCTTTTGGCACGTGACGTACCTTCGCTGGCGTAGAATTGGACTTGTCGGGTGTGGTTGTTGATGTCGTGGTGGTTGACGAGCGACGCCGTGAGCAAAGGCACCACATTTTGCTCCAGCATCACTTGGACGGCGTGACGACTGAGTTGTCCGAGAGCCGAGAGCGCGCCACTTCCCGACGCCTACGAAAACCCAATCTGTAAGTGAATATAAATTGAATCTGAGAGATGGAACCTGAACGATCGGATCGGACGGAAACGCGCGAAGGGCGACGGCGATGGCGGGAATGGCGCCGTTTTGGACAAACACAGCGCAGCTGTCGACGGACAGGTGGCACATCTTGCGAAGCAGGACAAAGCCGTAGCATTGGAGGACAGAATACAACTGATGGGACCGGATGATATGCAACAGAATGGTCTCGCCGGCTTTGAAGTGGAAAAAGTCGGCCGTGATTTGTGGCGCGAGACGCAGGAGTTTGAGCAGCGCGCTCAGTGCTTTCTTCTGCTCGAAAACGAATATGCATAAGACCCACAACATATAAGGACGACTGTTTTAAGAGAAGTCGTACCACACAGTGAACGTCAGCATGGATGGAAAAGAGATCGTCCAGAATACGCTGGATCTCGGCTTGGTGCTCCATCACTTGGTCTTCGGACTTGAACAAGTGTTCAGTGGTCGACTGGTCGTCGTCGCCAAAGGTCTGGCGCTTGGTAAGCAACGTGGATGGATCTGCCGTGGTCAATCTCGCGTCGTCATGTGTAGAGTCGATGGCAGTGTGTCGTTGCTTAGACACTTTCTTGGCTTCGGCCATCTTGGTAAACTCCAAGATATCTGCCGTTGCAGGGGGACGCAACGCAAACGGACTACTTTCGACTTGTTTGAGAGGGCGGAGGCGGTCGGCGTCGATTTCGCACTCCATTTGGCCGCCTTCGTAGCTCACATCGTACAGCACGATTTGCTGCTTCTTTCGAGACGATGTGGTGGCGACGGCAGTTCGGATGTGCACGACCTTGCCGCGCTTCCACTTACCACGGGATTCTTGCTGGATGTCCACGACTTGACCAAGTTGAAACGACGCTGTAGCAGCCTTGGAAGAAGTCGTTGCCGTGGAAGGGGTTGCCGATTTCGACGATGGCTTAGCCGAGTAGTAGGTGATTTGGATCTGGGACGATGACGGCATGCCTTTCTTGTTCGCTTTGAGACCGCCGTCCGTGGTCTTGCCTCGCTTCTTACTCATGATGAAGCGGAGGAATTCGGCGCACGGATACTGGTAAGGACGACTCTTTGAGGCGACCGACTGCTGAAATGCTGGGTGACCCTGGAAAAGCCAAGTACTTGCAACCACCTTCTGAACGGGCCGCCAGGCGTTTTGTTTTTGCCGAAGCGGCGCGTGCTTAGATTCGGCACGGCCCTCGTGGGTTGGCTGATTTTTATCCAATCGTTGTGCTTCTCATGACTGAAAACGGAATTGTTTTTTACCAATCCGATCACGCAACCTTTCGTGGTCGGCTTGCCGCCTTTCGTGTTGAAGATTGTATTGACTACAATTCCAAATACTACATAGTACACTGTAGTAGTACACGTGCAAGATAATCTGCGATCGTCATTCGAGAACTGGGCGATTGTCGTTGCCAGCAAATGCATCAGCGTCATTCGCATATGTTTGAACGTCGTCGTAAGCAGCAATGTCGACCGAAGCAACCACGGTACATCGGCGGCCTCCCCTATTCAGAATCCTAGCCAACTTTTGCATCATCAGGTAGTCAGTTGATCACGTCGTCTTGGGCATTCAGTCGTGAAAATATCCGCTGTCTTGAAAGTCTTGCCTTCAATGCGCATGCACACCCAGTGTGACACGACATCTTTCATCCAAAAGCTATGACAGTGTGCATGTAAGGATTTGGTATAGCACCACTGTAGCCGCACCACCATGTGGCTAATGTCGTACTGTACTATTAGTCATTACAGATAGCCCCCAACCACGACGGGAAATTAATGGTATTGGTTTCGTGGTTGGCACAGGTTTGCTTTTGTGTAGGAAAGGGAACAGGTGGATCCGGATTCCTATTTCAATATATATTACGTATCCAATGTTATATTACAGTTTGACAATGGTCGTGGGGTCGGCGCCTTCAAACGCAATGCGGTAAATCGCAGCAAACAGCGGAAACTCGGGCAACGAGTGAGTCTTTTCGATGATGTGGAACACTTCCTTGGCAGTTCCCGTGCCCTGGAGCTTCTGCCCATTCAGCACCGTCGCCTCCATCTCTTCCCACGTCACGCCCTTGTCTTTGACAAACAGTTCGGCACATTTGCGGTTCCGGCCGCCAAAGCATGTCGTGATCAGGTCCGCCACGCCGCAGCTCTCAAAGAACGTGTCCTCCTTGATCCCATCAAAGAACCGGTAGCAAAACTTCTTCATTTCAATCAGCCCCAACCGGATGATTGCCGCCTTGGTGTTGCCGCCGTACCCGAGGCCGTCGCAGAACCCCGCGCCCAACGCGACCACGTTCTTGAGCGCGCCGCACAGCTCGACGCCGTGGGGGTCCAGCGCGATGTTGACATGGAACGTGGGCGCGTGGAACAGTTGGCGAAGGATGTCGCCGTGATGCAAATGGTGCGTGCCCAGTGTCGACTCGCAAAAGTCGCCTGCCGCCACTTCGTTGGCCACGTTCGCCCCCATGAGCACGCTGCAGTCGATGCCGAGGCCATTGCGGATGATGTCCGAGACCAGCACGATGCCGCCGTTTTCGTTGAAATCGATGCCTTTGATCAGGGATACTGCAAACGCGCCTGGCTTCAACACGAGCTGGAGGTCGGGAAGTAGGCGCGGCAAGAACTGATGTGGCAGGCAAAACACGAGGATGTCCGCGCCGCGGGCGGCTTCCTTCAAGTCGGCCACCGCCACGACATTGGATGGGAGGGTGTATCCCGGGAGGTACTTGACATTCTCGTGGTCTTGGTTGATGATCTCAGTCAACTTACGGCCACGGATGAGCTCTTCAAACACCCACATGTTGATCACGGGTTCAAACATGGACGAATTCGAGACGCCCGTGTTCTCGCCGATGATGCGCGCGATGGCACATGCCCAGTTGCCAGAACCTACCAGGCATACCCGCAGTGGCTGGCCCGAGAGGTTGTGGTCGTATTGAAGCTTTTGCGCCACCATGGTTGTCGATCGATGGCCGCGCGTGGTAAATTGACGAAATTCCGGATACGGTTGGACAATCATCCGCTTGATTTGTTTATGACACACATAATCCGGAAAATGCAGTGAAGTATTGATATAATTACCGGAATCGTAGTGCAGGGGGCACTGCATTTTCGATTTGTTTGCAACAAAAATACTAATTTTATTCGAAACGACACACAATGTCTAAGTTGTACAATTCGAAAAAACAATATCGCGATGCAGGAAGAAAACGTAGTGGACACTGCACTATGTTACCAGCAGCCAATGAAAAGTCACAAAAGCCCAATGTATGTGGCCAATTGAATCGATTCAAAGGATCCCAAACGACGCCACTGCGATGCCTCGGCAGGAGGATTTCACCATAGCCAGTGCTCGGCGAAATCGCATCTCCCAACAAACGAGAAGTGGATACACATCTGGAATCAACCAAATCAAGAAATGGGTTGTACAGGCAGGACTGCACGACCTTCTGGGCCCATGTAGTGAGAGCCGAGACGGAACGACGCTGGACCGAATCACTTCACCTACAAGCACTTCCTCTCCTTCATAGAATGGACAGTCCAAAACAAGGATGTCGAGGTGGGAACAATCAGCGGGTATCACAGTGCCATCCAGAGCCTTTACAAGGACCAAGGTGTACAATTACTAGTGGAATATGGCGATGACATCAAGGAGATTTTTTCGGGTATTACATATTTTAATATTTTTGAGCGTTTGAGTTATGACAATTGTAATAGGACTACGAAAGAGCGTGGCCCATGGGCTTCAAACTGGTGAAAAAGTGTACCGAGGAAAGCGTCCGATGACGTTTGATGTTTTCGAGTCGCTGTGCGTAAAGAGCATGGCACTCAACGATGGTGGCTACGCGCATTTGTTCCTGGTTCTGTCGTGGAACCTTATGTGTCGCTCGAAATCAACAGAGACAGTCCGGTATTACACTATGTCTTGCTCAGGATAGTTATCTTTGCATATAGGTTCGATCACATGACGTGTGAGGATGACAGCATTGGTTTCACATTCATTAAAACCAAGACCAACCAGGAAGGTTGGAATTAGTATATGTTTGTTTATGCGGAATGTGATTTCATATATTTAATTAGGAACGAAAAACAAGGATCCAAAGCACTGTTACTCCAACCCGTTCAAGCCGGCGACATGCCTCTTTGTCGCTCTGGGGCTCTATCTTTCTTGCAACAGTAGGATGTCCCAACCAGCTTGTTCCCTGGTTCAAATCAAAAGGTGATTAGTCATGTCACACTCGAATCAAGTTAGATGATTTAATTAGGATCGCTTTGGAAAGTCACTTGCTGCGTTGGTTTGCGGGGGCAACTCAAAAGCAAAGAAGGACATTGGGACTCACTCCATTCGGAAGGGTGCTGCTACGTTTGTGTCATCGGGCAGCACCGGGGGTCCGTCAATTATCAGTGTGTGCCTTCGGTTTGGCTGGGCCCTCAGAAATGTCATGGAGAGGTACTTTCGGTATGAGGCAGCTGGTGACCAGTTCACTGGTCGGTGTGTGGCTGGACTATCATTGAACAGCGCTGATTTTGCTGTCCTGCCTCCACATTTTTCGGGTGGTAACGACTTAGTGGTTGGCCAGGCTGTCCAGATTATGTTTCCGTCCCTTTGCTCCGAAATCCACCTGGTTCCAATTTTACAGCTCATTTTGGCGAGTTTGGTGTATCACCGAAATTTTTTGATTGGGTCCTTGCCTCCTCACCATGCCTTGCTGTCCACATCGCTGTTTACGAATCCAGACCTGTTTGCCAGTCTTACTACTATTGTGATATCGGGCTCAACATCGGCATGCTTACGTGCCAGCGGAATCCCTCCTTATGTTGAAATGTACAGGAAATTGGAAAAAAAACGAGGTGATTTTGACATCCATGCCTGCCAAGATTTTGGACGACGTGCGGAGTATTGTCGAAGACCATGGTGTGGCGTGGCAGCTGGCAACATTACACGATCGGTTCTAGAGTCGTCTATTGCCAGTGCCTTGTCGTCCATCCAACAGTCAAATTGCGCCATGTCCCCCGCACAACAATTGCAAATTGATTCGCAGCCTCTGGTGTATGAGCCATTTCACTGGGGTGGCAAATTCCACAAGCTACCCCAGAATTTTGTGTTTCCTAGTGTCGATGCTGCAACAGCATGGAAATTATGGTGGCGTGGAAATATTCGCGAAAAAGTCTTGCCGTATCGAAAGATTGATACCCAAGATTTGGCCACCCGAGCTGCGAGAAACATGTTTTACGAGTGGAAATTTGTCCTGGAGAAACTAACGGACCATTTTGTGTCAGTATCAGGTCGTAACATGGCCCTCAACCCCTCGGAGCAAGAGGTCTCCACGTCGTTCGACACGGCGCGAGGCCTTTTCGACCAATTCTGCGGTGAAACATCAGCGAAACGTGTGCGGCGTGACGGGCAGCTCAAGATCACGACTCTTGTCCGTCTTCTCCGCCAACTCGAGCCTTCCAAGACGCCTCGGGTCTTCAAGAAGCGTAAACGCTCGGAGCAGCGAGCAGGTAGCCAGTCGACGACCATGCTCTGACGTGTACGAGGAGGTTGAATTAGTTCACAGAGGAGGTGGAATGGCAATCGTACATTGGATGTGTTTGCTTGTGCTTGTAGATGGTCCAGTGTACTGTACAGTAGACACTGGCAGGACGTGGCATGACTCGGCCGACTTGCAATGTGACCTGAAGTTGGAATGGTTCTTCCGTCGCATTCATGAATTCTAGCCAATCAAAAACTCTCTCAACAGGGATTGGCTGTAAGAATCGTTGTAGTGCAGGTTGCACTACGTTTTCCAACCACAACACATTATTTTCCCACCATTTTCACATAACATTGCAGGAGGCTGCGGGAAACGATCAACTTTACAATCCTCAAACGATATGGCAGTGCATAGTTCATCATCACCATACAACACACTAGAATCAAATCGAGTTCAGCTTGAGGAAGGAAGCAACATGCCCTGCTTTTAATTGCCATTTTGAAGGATTGGCATCGTCCTCAATTGATTGCGCGGAGTTGCTTGGCTCCTAACAAAACGGTTGCATAATTTTTTAAAATATGGCATTTAAATGTTAGAAAATTATAACATAGCATATCAATGTATGCTATAAATTATAGCTCAAGATGACAATAATTGTTTGTCATCTTTCACGCTACCGGTATATTTGAAGTTTTCGCGAAAATGCGTCTTTAATGTGCTGCTTCGTGGCACAGAGATGACCGATCAATGCAAGAACATGGTAGCATGTACAGCAGCATTGATACTACGTAATAAAGCGGCATTAACGGTGTTACGATGCTTGATAAACCCAAAGTAAGCTATATTTCAGTTTTTTGGCATGTTTGAGGTCACTTCACGCATGCTAAATAAGTATAATCACACCCACAGTAAGCTATATTTCAGTTTTTTGGCATGTTTGAGGTCACTTCACGCATGCTAAATAAGTACAATCACCACATATCACGTCTCGTTATATAGCCCGCAGCCATCTCTTCAGTTTTCATATTAAATGTATCACGCCCAGGCAAGCCATTGCTGAGCAATTCAACGACAAAGTCATGTACTTTCTCCATAGTTAACATTGATTGTCATAAATTATGACAAACATTGATGTTAACTTATGTTAACTTGATGCTATATTTCGATGTTATCTTTTAAATTATGAAATACTTATTTTATATTATAAATACGTAACGGTATTCTCGTGGAATGCAGTGGATACTTTTCCAAAGAGCATCGTAACTGAAGTCCATACGTATACGTTTTGAACAGCGGAATCGAATACAAAGTCGCCTTGCACCAAAACTCAACTCCTTCGTCTAGACATACGTTTATCCTCGCTCATGTCGCCAACGATGGCTATGTTCGTCATTTCCCGCAGCCTCCAGTATTAGGGAGATTTCGGAGATGAGTATTTTGGATAAAGATAAGGGTACGTCTGGTCCATTTTCTCGCAAAATGGAATTAACCAAAATGTCATTTTCAAAATGGAGGTAAAAGGTCCATTTTGTAATAGACAGATTTCGGAAGCACTGCCGTAGACTTCCCACGCACGGAAATTTTAATGCACGGGAAATATATGGCAGACCCAACTCATGATTTCGACAAAACTTATTTGCATTTACCACATCCGCATGAGGAACGATATCCGTATGCTTGCAAGTGTGGTGGCGAATCCACACCGCTCATAGTTCCCTGTTGTTGCATTGCGTAAGCTTACTCATGTGGCCCCATTACCACAACTGGCATCACGAAGGGGTCTTGTCACACACCTCATGGGTCCACAACTTTACTATCACTATGATACCAGTTTTTGCGTGCCACGTTGAGCAAGGGAGTGCCTAAAATATATATATGTGTAAAATATTCAGAGCAAGAAATGTAAAATACTCAGAGCGAGAAATATACGGAAATACATACCTGGAATAATTTCCAATTCGCTTCCGAGTTTTGCAACCTCACGAGTAAACTTCGGTTGCTTGTGGCACTTGTAGTCGTCTAGCAGTAGTAGGCTTGGGCCACCTTCACCAGCAAAAGGTTGCCAGACTATCTTCATCCATTCCTCGGTGGTCGGGTCGTCAAGCCAGGCGTTTTTCTGGCAACACGCGAAGACGTTGGCGGGCAAAATCTTCTCCAACGACGTATCAATGCACCGGGGACCCCTTTGAACACGACGTATGGCGGCAACTACTTTCCGGTGGCCGTGACCGCCAGACACAGGGACACACAAGGGTTGTGTGTGGAGCCGACGCGCGCGGAAACCGTCGTTGCACCTTTCTTCGAGATGGTCGTGTGCACCTTTGGCTTAAAGTGCACTGGGGTCTCTTCCATGTTGACAACTCGGTCCATTGGAACATTTTCCAATATCCCAAAGGGCAGGAAACGACGACTTAAGTTTCCAACAAAATCATTCATTACCTGAGTGACATGGTTCGACTTCTTTTGGCCTTGACGTGTTGGGCACCGAATGTACAGAGTGTGGCGCTCCATGAACTTGTATAACCAGTGAAACAAGCGCTTGTGGATACCACCGCAGAACGTTGGGTCAATGCTCAACGCCTTCACAATGAGCATGTTCGTGCTGACAGCAATGTCGCTGTCTCGCAACGTTCCACAGTACTCCAGCACTGCAGCTTCCAGTTCGGGCGCAGCAACCTTAGGGCATTCGCTCACGGTGAGTTTGCTTGGACGCTTGGAAACCGCTTGCTTGAGTTGGGGTAAATGTTGGATCCATCGCTGGATACCATGACGTTTGGCAGTTGCATAGGCCCTGCATGTGCCTTTTTGGTGCTCCATGACCACCGACAACTTGGTCTTGGCAGAATAATACTGCCTTTTACCCTTTGAAGGGGAAGGCGATGGCATGGTCGTTTCAAAAGTGACGACAACAAAGTCGCGTCTTCATCAAGCCAATCAAATTCAAATGAGGTCACACGTATTAGCCAATCCTAGCATCTTTTAATATTTGAAAGCATATGACTTTCTACACGGGTTGTACCTATTTGGATTAGATTTTGGTTACATTATTGGGGGTACAAGTCCCGCGGGAATACGGTATATACATTGACGTTAACGACCATTGACTTGAGCATTTTGGAGATCAATGTTACTTGGACTTTGTACACGATAGTTTTTACCATTCACAAATGCAAACACGCCTTCAACCAGGAGCTCGTTGGCAGGTCAACGTTGCCCAGTGCTGTTGTTGCCGAATCGTCGGACACCATACCGCGGCGTCTGAGATTCGGTCTAGAGAACGTCCGAGTGCCCGCTAGGCATTGGATATCACGCATGCTAAAGTGTTTGGCGATACCCCAAAGAGCTTCTACAGAGTTTTGTGTTGAACGGCTGCCGTGTAGAAGTGGAGGGTCAAGGCTAGAACAGCATGCTTGTGCTGGATCCTCGGAGGGCGTCCTCTTCGACCTGAACCGGACAACACTGTGTACTCTTGGTCAAATACTTGTAGCAAATCATCGAAGTCATCCGGGGGCAGAGAGACCGTGGTAAGGAACGACGGGGTGTTAGGGGAACGGTACATTGTGTACTAAGCCGCGGCAGACAGGTCATCATGCAGTGCCGCGTACTCCACGGCATTACATTCACGAAGGATGCCTCGGAGGTGAAGCATTTCCAATCGTCGTTGTCGGCGACGAAGTCATTGGCGTGAGAAGAGTAGGGCCGCTACGATAGCGGAAACCATGTCAATGATGCATTCGCATGGACCAATGAGTTTTAACCAATAGATTTTGAGTGTGAAAGCTATTTTGTCCAATTAAATCAATTGGTGAATTGTGCTTTGCGAGAATATTCGAGGCACCAACGATTCTTCTAGATTGGCCACACAGTCATGGGTTACTACGTAGTAAAAAATATACGTTATCCGGACTCGCAAATATGAATGTTAGAGGCACTTGCGAGATTTTTGGCAGTCACCCAATCACCGATGAAATCACCGGTGGGTATCTACCAAACTAACACTAATTGCGTTGCTTTGGATGAGGTTTTTCTTGTCTGTATGAGCGTTTTAGTTCAGTGGCATTGCCCAATCAACTCTGTCTGAAATGGATGCGAAGGGGTTAGGTCGTCGTGGGAGCGGTCAATTAATGGGCTATGTGCCCGATTCGGTCGATTGGACGGGGTTCGGAAATTCATGCCGAATCTCGAATACGTGGTGTGATTTTTTAGGGCCCGTCTGGATACCACTTTTATTGAGAAATATCGCGATAATTTTGCAAAATATTCAAGAATCTCAGCGACTACGATTTGGCGTGTCTGGATGCCATTTCTTGACCAAGTTATATTCCATAATTTTATCAGAAATATCGTGAAAACCACAAGAAATAATATTCTACTCATGAGTAGAATATTTTGACGATATTGACATTGCGCGTTGAATTGACTCGGAATGAGAAAGGCCATCGTGATTGCCTTCCTACGTCGATGGCTCATCCGCCGCCGCCTGGCCAAGGAACTCTTCGCCAGACAGATGGAGTACCACTACCTCGCCTTCGACGAAAGAGGACGTCCATCCTCAGTGGTCCTCTCTGGGTGGACGAAGTCCTCTGCGGCTCTGCGCTATCCTCTGATTGGCTGTTCATTTCCGAACTTTCTTTAATTCTATGGCATCCAGACACACCACCCAAAATCATTATTGGATCTTGAAACCCAAGAAAATCCTGCAATGTGTCGAAAAATGTTTTATATTCAATATTCCAATATCCCATAATATTGGTGGGTGGCATCCAGACGCGCCCTTACAGTTAAATTGCAAAGGTTGTGATTACGCCGATTTTGTTGTGGTCAAAACCACCACTCGATTTTCATCACTTCGAAGCACATCAAGTTTGTAATCTATTCCCACAAAACACACTTCTTGGTCGGGTTCATGGGCGAGGCCACAGGACAGTTGAACACCTTGGCAAAATCGACCGAGTTTTGAACCGCCCCGATCAAGCGGTGGCGACCAGGGGGGTGTACGCCGGTGAGATGAACCCGGAGGTTGTCGTCGCTGTTCTTTATGCACAAAGATTGAGCATGCCCGATCCAAAACATCTTGTCGCCTGCTTCCATGGTGTACTTGGTGGCATCGGCATCAGCGTGTACGTAGTCCCGGTACGCCCGGTATGCAACGTTGAGGCCCCCGTTGTCGGCGATTGCTTCCCCCAATGTCAATGCGCCGTCCAACTTGCCGAGCAAATCACCCGTGAGCTCGCTCTTGACATCCATGGATCCATACTGCTCGATGAAGCACTTGGCCTTTTCGCGGAACGTTGTCCTCGCGGCAGCCTTCCACCATGAATTGATTTTGCCGTCGCCGTCGAAGTTATGGCCACGGTTGTCGAAGCCGTGGGTGATTTCGTGGCTGATGGCAGCGCCAATGGCGCCATAGTTCACGGACGGGTCCGCATTGGGATCGAAGAGCGGGGGCTGCAAGATGGCGGCGGGAAACACGATTGTGTTGCTCGACCCGTCGTAGTACGAATTCACGGATTGCGCAGTAATCTTCCAAATTTGCTTGTCCACGGCTGTGTCGATATAAACTAGGTTGAACGCATTGTCGAATGCAGTCACCTTGTTCAGGTTAGCAATGTAAGCCTTGGGGTCAAACGTCAAGGTGGTGTACGTTTTGGGGTTCTTGGGCCCCCCCAAGAGGTGGGTAAGCTTGGACAACTTGGTCTTGGCGTTGGCGCGAGTGGTGTCATCGAGCCACCCCGCACTGTCCAGCCCGGTTTCGAAGGCCTCTTTCAGCTTGAACACAAGCGAGTTGGCGGGCGCGGAGGTGTCGGCCGTCCACACTTCCTTGAGGTAGTACGAGCCCAGTAGTTCGCCGATGGACGTCTTCACCTGACTGCGGCAGATTGTGGCCCGCGACGGGGGTTCTTTGAGGCCTTTAATCACCATGTCGTAGAATTTCGAGTGGGCTTTCGCGAACTGTGTTGACAGGAACGGCGCGTTGAAGTCGAGCACCTTGTACTCGATGATGATCTTGAGGTCGTCGACGGACAAGCTGCGGAGCAACCTTTCTACGGAGCCCAAATAACGGAAGTTCTTCACAACTACTGTGGTCGTGTTGGACCCTTCGCGGACGTCGAACCCAATCCCTTGCAATTGGAGTCCTAGCCCTAATGGGTACGACGCGTTGGCAGCGCCAAGCGGTAACCGGATATCGTTGGATGTCACGGCCTCTTGGAGCCTACGCTTGGACAGCTCTACCCCGGCATTGAGGCGTTCAAACGCAATCACGACGTCGATGGAGGTCTCCACCTCCTCCTTCGGGTGACCGGCTAGCATGAAGATCCTGCCAATGTATTCGCGGTACGGCTTTTCAACCCCGGCCCACGATTCTTCGTCGAAGTATTGTTGGTCAAACGGCAATCCCGAGTGTTCGGCTTTCAAGACGTTGCGGGTGGTTTCGACGGTGTCGGCTGAGACCGACAGCTTCACGAACAGCGGTACGCCGGTGGCCTTGGAGATGGCCGTGCCGCGAAAGATGGCTTCGACGGCCGATTTGGCGCTGCGGATTGCCTTGAGGTGGGCTTCGATGGGAGCCAAGCCCAAGCTGTCTATGGTGGTAGTGTCCACACACGCGTCATAGAACTCGGCGAGTTTGGGCAACTTGTCGTTCAACAATTTTTCGATCAGCTTGTCCGACGCAGCCTTGATCACGGCGTACGTGGCATCGATAGTACTTTGGTGGGTGTGGAGGTGGGTGTTATTGTACCACGTCCCGCACGAATACGAAAAGAAGTCGGTGCACGGATCCACGGTTTGATCCATGAGGATGGTCATCTCTGTCGGAAACTGGGAGATGGTGCCGAAAGCAGACGTGACACCGGCGGACAAGGCAGCCATAGCGGGCACGATGTTCTTGACCATGGCTGGCATGTTGAAGAATCACCAAGCGACCAAACAAGCTCGCGAATGATGGGGCTATCCATCGCGATTGGGACACGAAGGAGACATCTGGTGGATTGGTAGAATCCATGCACGAATGGCCCTTTCTATATTGATACGAATGAGATATCTGGTATTTGAATTCATGCATGAATGGCCCTTTCTATACTTTGTTCAAAAAAAATATAGACTTCAATGTATTCGAAGTATTCACTGGAATAGAATATACTGTTATTATTAATAATACTTCGAAGTACATCGACTTCAATGGATTGACTTGAACAAAGTATACTGTTGCCCCTGTACTTCAACGTTTCGTCCATACTTCCAACTCCCACCAAAATTTGAATCTGTCGTGCGCAGAGCTCATTTTTCGATTTACCTCAAGGAACGCACCCACGATGGACGCGCGGAGGCCATGGGCAGCATGGGCAGCATGGGCGTTGGTATGTGACGTCACAGCAACGATGCGGCATGTGTCGTTTAACGACCATTTCTATATTGAATTGACTTTTTATTGCGTGATTTCCATTATCATCGGGCACACGACACAATTCATCGGGCACATGGGCAATTACTTGGGCACACGGCCAATTATATCGGGCACACCGCCAATTATATCGGGCACACAACATCCGGGTGCCAAATTTCACGGGCACATTGCCAATTATATCGGGCACACAACCAAATATATCGGGCACACGACCAAATATACCGGGCATTCGTCCAACTTAACTGCAGAAAGGTGTAGTAATTGCAATCGCACTTGAAGTAAAGTGCGTTGTCCCTAGAATTTGCCGAGATAAATAGTGAATACAAGCTTTTTTTTAGACCATCTCAACGGTGTTTTTATTTCTATTTCAATTCGCCCCTCGACATTCCAAGCTCGCGTACGTAAAAAAGTTGGACCAAATTGGTCCATATTTTTTATGCCATAAAACACCCGATTCTCAAGAAAATTGTGGCATAATTTTTTGAACTTTAGTGACATCCAGACGCACAAAATTTCGAAAAATGGAATATTTCGATTTTGGCAACATTTCTTGGAAAAACGGCCATTTTATGCCATTTTTCGTGGCATCCCGCCCTTAACGTTACGTTATAATTTCAATATACAAATCGATTATTGGGATATTTCAGGCACTTCTTGGCACTAAAAGATGCAACTGGATATATTTTCCAACGCTACCCTTAGTTTTTTATTATTCGAGGGACTTTTGTGGTGGAGTGCTTCAAACGTTTGACATTTTAGTGCACAATGGCAGTGCCTCGGCTTCGAAGAAGTAAAACCGGGCCCCGGCTTACCACGGATGAATCCTCGACGCACGTGAAGTTGATCCAACGTTCGAACGACGAAGGCGGTGTGTTCCGTCACATGGAATTAAACGATTTTAACAGTAAACACCGATTCTTGTACGGGTATGCACTTCCATGCCAGTCGTCATCAGCGCCCCCCATAAGGGGGGCACTATGACCAAATGTCGACGAAGAAGGGGGTTCCTTCACCGATTGATCCATCGCGATCCGCGGTATCTCACGACGCCCCTCTTCAGCCTCTTGACCGCGGATGTATTTTGTGTGTTGTGTACACTGCACCGCGCCCCCATCCCGCGTCCAAGTTGAAGTGTCTGCTCCGTGGCTCCTCTAAAATCGTATAGCGCCGAAATGGTATTCATGCTGTGTGATTATTGTGGTAGGATATTGAATTGCATTTCTCGACTAAGTGACGACTACCGGTAGGTATCGCTCTCGACATCTCCTCGCTCAGTTGGCCAATTCTACTGGATATTGCGAAGCCCCACAGCTTACCACCCTTCACGACAGACGTGTATTTAACGGAACTGATTGCACTTTGAAATATGCGATGACATCGTTCAAGGTTAATACGCTTAAGAGGCTATCTCTTGCGCCTTGCTCCCACCCTGTCACTACACCGTAGCATTTACTTGCAGCGATGCCAACGGCGTCAAACTTGGCTTGGGTCGAGTCGAAATGACACGCACTTGTGAGGCAGACAGTTTCGCACAACGGTGACGGTTACACATTGGAGTGGAACCCCATCCAGGCCTTGCCACTCGAGATGAACGTTCAACTGCTGCACTCGTTGCGGCTTCGTATCCAAGGCACCCCCCTGTGTGCCAGACTGCAAACAGTTGGCGCCAGTCAACTCATCTTGTTGCCACCACTGGAACAAGAGATTGTGCGCAACTAGGGCGTTGTGCGAAACTGTCTGCCTCACAAGTGCGTGTCATTTCGACTCGACCCAAGCCAAGTTTGACGCCGTTGGCATCGCTGCAAGTAAATGCTACGGTGTAGTGACAGGGTGGGAGCAAGGCGCAAGAGATAGCCTCTTAAGCGTATTAACCTTGAACGATGTCATCGCATATTTCAAAGTGCAATCAGTTCCGTTAAATACACGTCTGTCGTGAAGGGTGGTAAGCTGTGGGGCTTCGCAATATCCAGTAGAATTGGCCAACTGAGCGAGGAGATGTCGAGAGCGATACCTACCGGTAGTCGTCACTTAGTCGAGAAATGCAATTCAATATCCTACCACAATAATCACACAGCATGAATACCATTTCGGCGCTATACGATTTTAGAGGAGCCACGGAGCAGACACTTCAACTTGGACGCGGGATGGGGGCGCGGTGCAGTGTACACAACACACAAAATACATCCGCGGTCAAGAGGCTGAAGAGGGGCGTCGTGAGATACCGCGGATCGCGATGGATCAATCGGTGAAGGAACCCCCTTCTTCGTCGACATTTGGTCATAGTGCCCCCCTTATGGGGGGCGCTGATGACGACTGGCATGGAAGTGCATACCCGTACAAGAATCGGTGTTTACTGTTAAAATCGTTTAATTCCATGTGACGGAACACACCGCCTTCGTCGTTCGAACGTTGGATCAACTTCACGTGCGTCGAGGATTCATCCGTGGTAAGCCGGGGCCCGGTTTTACTTCTTCGAAGCCGAGGCACTGCCATTGTGCACTAAAATGTCAAACGTTTGAAGCACTCCACCACAAAAGTCCCTCGAATAATAAAAAACTAAGGGTAGCGTTGGAAAATATATCCAGTTGCATCTTTTAGTGCCAAGAAGTGCCTGAAATATCCCAATAATCGATTTGTATATTGAAATTATAACGTAACGTTAAGGGCGGGATGCCACGAAAAATGGCATAAAATGGCCGTTTTTCCAAGAAATGTTGCCAAAATCGAAATATTCCATTTTTCGAAATTTTGTGCGTCTGGATGTCACTAAAGTTCAAAAAATTATGCCACAATTTTCTTGAGAATCGGGTGTTTTATGTAGGTTTGTGTTCACGTTGCAGTCTTGCACTTCACTAAGAAATCGAATATTTCTTCCAAAATTCAGCTGGTATCCAGACAACTTTGGAGATACTTCTTTTCTCCGTTTTTTCATGGGATATCAGACTTTCGGAAAATTTTGCAGACTTGGCAAAACAGATTATGGCATAATTTTATGGGGTGGCATCCAGACAAGCCCTAAGAATTGGTGATACTTTTTTGGCTTGTACTTCGCGAACGGTCGTAATATCTTAGTTTTGTATGAATGGAATATTAATTTACAAAATAGTATACCTGGGTGTCGTGACGCGTTTTAATTTATCAATCCTACATTAAATTTGAACGCATTATAATAATATACAAGTTGAAATTTGTATTGGACAACATAAAAATGAACATGGTTTTGAACTTCAAGGTGGTGTCCTGATCCTTTGGCTGAATATAATCATATCCAATGAAAACTCCTCATTACAGAATGAAGCCATTGGATTGGATATAATGACAACCGTTCGCGATATTGATGGCGTTCGCGATATTATTGGCGTTCGCGATATTGATGGATTACCTAAAGTGAAATCACCAGTTCAGACCTTGCCGACGAGCCGTGGAACGCCGAGTTACTGTACTCGGCTGTGGCGGCGTCCATCGACGCGCCGGTGGCTTCTAGGACCAACCGACGGCGCCACAGCCGAGCAGCATGCCGTTGCGGTGCGTGTCGAAGGGCAGCAGGGCGTGTGCGACTTTGTACGCGATCGACGCGACTCCGAGCGAGCAAAGCCCGTCGTAGATCCACGGCAACAGTTTGTTGTTGCAGATTAAGATACCCGAAATACCAGTCCATAGGTTCACTCAAAGCGGAAATCAAAATCAGCTACTAAAATAGTACTGTACGTGCATAATTCAATGGATGAGTTGGCAGACGATGGCTACATGGCCTCACCGTGGAGTGGACGATGCGAGGTATGAAACGTCCACTGTATGGTGAGGTCATGCACCGGTACAGTAGATAGCTAAACGTACAAACAGCTTTCAACTATACATTGGTACCAGTATCAATTTGCCCAACGTAGTTAGTTCATGACCCATAGCCGAATCGTTCGCAATTTCGTCGCCGTAGTCGTCCAAGTTGGGTACAGAACCTCGCGAACACAGAAGCCTGCTGCGGTCGCAACAACACGGCATCGATATTCTTTGCATGCAAACGCATGTAACGTTACGCAAAGTGCCATTCGACGGGTGAGAGGCACACGTTTTGCCACTTTGTTAGGGAGGCCGGCGGCCTTCCGTCTGAAGGTTGATCCCCGATCAATTGTCGCCTGCATCATCGACACTTGCAAAACCTCTCTAATATTGTAGGTGGGCCGCGGCAGGTCTGGCAGCTCGAACTGATGGATTTGGTGCTTATAACGAGTCGTGGAGACAACCATATCCATCAATTCGTGCAGCCAGACCCGCCACTGTGTGCGAAGGGCGAAACGAGCCTGCAATTATACCATGGTGTATGCGTCTGACAACTTACACTTGATGTATGCCGACACTGCTACTTCGTCTGTGAGGATTGTGGAACGAAGTCGTCAAGCCATCGTCTTTTGTGGTGTTGTACTTGGTAAAGTATGAGTGAAACCATTACTGTAGTTCTTACTACGTATTGTGCTTTTCATGTAGTTTGCCCGTTGTTTAACTGCGTTAAACAACCAGACGTTTAAAATAATATAAGCCCGATTGAATATAAAACAACGCTAAACACAAGTTCTGCATTTCAGCAGAATAAAACAGCGCTTACTTTATTA